GCCCCGTGACGACGACAGACGACCATCCAGGGGATTACACGATCTGGGACTTTGTGTCCCACCTGTACCCATCGGCACCTCTCCCGTCACGGGACCAGGAATTCAGAATTTCGAAGCGGATCCTGCCGTGGTGACCAGGGCGACAGACGACCATTCGGAGGATCCTGCCACCGCTGCGAACTGCGGCGTCTCGAGCCCCAACCCCCTCCCCGACGACCGCCTTGAGCACGGCCCACCTCGACGCCCAGCGACGACGACAGACGACAATCGGGAGGGCGAACAAGGAAGACGTGACGCTTATCCCCACAACGGGAACTCCGACCCCGCCACGAGACCGCACCCTGGACCGGACCGGACGTCGACGAACCCCCAATCCCGATGGACAACGCAAAACCGCCGCTCAGTTCATCCGGCGCGGCGATCCTGAGCCATCACGTCACAGCAGCTGCACCGCGCCCACTCGGCGACCCAGCAGAACCCTCAGGGCAGGGTGACTTCTCCCTAAGGGACGTGGACGGCCCCCCCCTCAGCCCACCCAGCCCGACAGTGCCTTGCAGCAGTAGCCTCAGTAGGCCAACCGCCGAGGCCGGGGAGGCGACCAGCACTCGAGGAGACCTCGATCTGCCAGTCGACCGGGGGCCCGGGGCAGGTAGGAATGCCCACAGCGAACCCGCGTCCGCAGCCGCCGTCGCCGAAATCGGGGGTTGCCGCGACAGCCCTGACCCGGGCCTCGCCGCCTCGCCCTGGCCACACAAGCAGGTACACGGCCGTCTGCCGCCACCTCCCAGTGCCCGAACCAACAGAACTCGTCTAGAGAAGCTGGGCCCGGTACGAACAACGGACCAGCCTTGCCGAGTCAGGACAACAAGGCCGTCAGCCAGCTTGTCGACAGAAGCCCTTTCGCGCCCATTCGCCCTCCCTCCCCGGGCAGCGCGGTTAACGATAACCCCCCCCCGGACCCCCCAAAATGATTGAGTGGGGCTGATTGAAGCCGCCAGAAACTGTTCTTTTAATCGCCCGCTCCCCGGCGTTTGCTTTTGCCTCTTTGGGGAGGAGGAGGAGGAGGAGGAGGAGGAGGAGGAGGAGGAGGAGGAGGAGGAGGAGGAGGAGGAGGAGGAGGAGGAGGAGGAGGGCGAGGAGGAAGATGAAGGAGGAGGAGGAGGAGGACGAGGAGGAGGACGAGGAGGAGGAGGAGGAGGAGGAGGAGGAAGACGAGCTCGCCCTGAAAAATCACCCCGTCCACCCCCCTGGCCCCCGCGCCCTGGATCGCCACCCCGTGCCCCGCCCCCCTGGCCTTCCAGGCAACCCGGAATTGTCAGCCCCCCGTTTGCCTGCCCTGTCCCACCGCTATTGCGGGGGCGAGGAGGCCCGCGAAACAATTGTTTTAATCGTCCGCCCCAGAAAATCTGTTTAATCGTTTCCCCCCCGAGCGGATAGCGAGCCGCAACCCCTCTCCGAAGCCGGGACCTCGTCGGGGGTGGCGACGGACGCCCCGAAAGGTTCGGTGCCCGACAACGCGCCTGCGGCCGGAGTTACCCGCAGCATCCCCACATCGGGCTATCGCCTCGCGGTTACTGATGGGGGCGCGCCCACGAGCGAGTACAGGCACAGGTCCGTCGGCGAACGCCATCGAGAGGGACCTGCCCCCGCGCGCCGCAGTGCAGCGCCCCTCTCTGCCCCAGTCGCCGAAGGCGATCTGGCCCCTGCCTGGAGGCCAACCGCGCGGCCCGCCCTGACACGCATGGCCTCGCCAGGCGTTTCCGACCGAGCTGCCGCCGTGCCGCGCGAAACCATAGGCGACGCTGACGGCGGGCCCAGCCAGGCGGGGCTGTCGCAGAGTAGCAAGCGGGAGCAGCATGGGGAGCAGGATCCTGACGAACCCCACGATAAGGATGTGGCTGCCGCCCGCGGGGAGGATACGGGAGCGGTGCCGGCGCAGGAATTGGAGCAGGGGCACGAGCTGGCAACCGCCCACTGTCACTCTCCCATGGCCGGCTCTCAGCACCCTGGCCTTTCCTCCCTGGCAGCGGCGCGGGCTCGAGCACCGAAGAACGGCGACGGCCAGGCCGCAACGGTCCTCCAAAGCGTTCGCCTTGCAACGGGTGGAGGCCCGGCCTTGCCCTGGCAACTGGCGGCTTCCCTGCGCCCCTTCCGCCCCTGAGTCGAAACCCGGCCCTTGGCGACGCTGACACCGCTGGCGGGCCCGGCGCGCGGCAAACGACAGGCGGCGGACGCAGCAGCAGCAGCAGCAGCAGCAGCAGCAAAAACAGAAACAACAGCAGCAGCAGCAGCAGCAGCCGCCGCCGCTCCATGAACCCCCGCCGACTACCCCGCCACGGGAAGCGAGGCCACGCACCAAGGGCCCGAACCCCTGGACCCCGACACGGGACAGCAGATGTATAGAACCGAGATCAGCTGCATCCAGTGGAGTCTCCCTGGGGTGACCCCTGGCGAGACGATAAGGCGGCTCCAAGCCACCCTGGGTGCGGTGTTCACAAGCGCCTGGCACGCGTTCGCCAAGCAGCACGGCAAGGGCGCACCCGACCCACGACGACACGACCAGCAAACCTGCGTCAGTTTCCTGCACTCCTTCCGCAACCACAACTCCGACGTGAGGGTCATGAGCGACGCGCTGAACCTCGGCGCCAACTGGGTCCGGTTGCAGCCGCGACTCCCGAGCCGCAGAGAAGGCCCGGGCAAGGGGCGCCAGGTACCCCCCCGCGGCGAGGCGCGAGGAGCGGACCAGGGCGACGGGCGCGAAGACGACCAGGCTCGCAGCTCCGGGTACCACGACACCTGGACTGGGAAGCGCCCGCGGCGCTGACCAACCGCCGACCTGACCCCCTCGCCCTACGGCAGCACGGCACAACCGTCCCTGCACTCCCACCACCTGTGCCCGCTCCCCCCCACCTTCCTTCTCTTCCCCTCCCCTCCCCCTCTCCCGGCTTCAAGGATCTGGGACTCTGTGTCCCACCTGTACCCATTGGCTGAAGGCGATTCAGGGATCTGGGACTCTGTGTCCCACCTGTACCCATCGGCTGAAGGAGTTTCAAGGATCTGGGACTCTGTGTCCCACCTTTACCCGTCTGCGACGCATTGGTGCACTGGCGACTTGCGTGGCACGCCCCTTTTTACCTGCGTTGGGACCTCGTGTCTGGCCTGTACGCATTGGGGCTTGCCCCCACTGAGCACCCTGGTGCAAGCTGGCGCGACTTCGGCTGGCACGGGATGCCGGCCTCTCTTCTCCCTGTTCGCTGTTAGCCCCGTCCTATTCTTCCCCTCCCCTCCCCCTCTCCCGTTTTCAAGGATCTGGGACTCTGTGTCCCACCTGTACCCATTGGCTGAAGGCGATTCAGGGATCTGGGACTCTGTGTCCCGCCTGTACCCATCGGCTGAAAGAGTTTCAAGGATCTGGGACTGTGTGTCCCACCTGTACCCATCTGCGACGCATTGGTGCACCGGCGACTTGCGTGGCACGCCCCCTTTACCTGCGTTGGGACCTCGTACCTTACCTGTACGCATTGGGGCTTGTCCCCACGTGAGCACCCTGGTGCAAACTGGCGCGACTTCGGCTGGCGCGGGATGCCGGCCTCTCTTCTCCCTGTTCGCTTTTTCCCCCCCGTTCGCTTCCCCCCCCTCCCATGGCGGCGGCGCCCGGCACAGCGCGGTTCCGGCCCGGTGCTGGGCACTGCACCTTGCCGCTTCGGAGGCCCCGCGTGCCTTGGGCAGCGCGGCTCAGGCCCGGCCCTCGGCTACGCGGTCGTCAGCGCATCGTGTGTGGCTCCCGCCCGTCTTCACGCGCTGACTGTGCAGGACAGGCTTCCTCCCTGCACACCACCGACATCCAGTCGGGCACAGACGGCCCTGCTTCTGGCCGCACCCCTTGGCTGCTTCCTGGTCGTGGATTGGACTACCACCCCAGGCCGCTACCGACCACCCGGTGGCACAACGCTGCGCATCGTCTTCGTGGTCCTCCTCATCTCCTGGGCCTCTCCTCGCCATTTGGTGGCGCAAGTTGCTCATCGCCTACATGGTGGTCTTCTACCCCCCCAGACGTCGACCTGGTTACGTCCTTCCGCACGCAGCACTCGGGGATGGTGATTTTGACGCGCCGTCGACGGCAACACCACACCGCTCACCCTCCGGGACTTCACCTCCGGCTCCTGTCCAAGGTGTACCTTTTCCTGTGCAAACTCTCCAGCACCGCCTGCACCCCACGCCCTCCGGCCGCCTGAGGCCCCGCCCGCCCGCGCCCTGTCTCCCCAATTAGTGCTTTGCGCGGCCCGCCTAGCTCTTAACCGGAAGAGGCTCGCTCTCGACCCGCAGACCAAAAGGTGTTTCACTGGTCCTGGTTGGGGACCTTCGGATCACCGTGTCCGCCTGCCCGCCTTGTAGGCGCGCCCACTGGGCGATGGCACTTGCGCTCTGCGTTTTGGGGCGATGTCAGAAAACCTTCGGGATCTGTGCTCAGATTGGAAAGCCCAGGGGGGCGTCTGGGAGGCAGTCTTGGGCCCTCGTGGAGCCGTCCTGGCTGGGGGGGCATCTAAAATATAAGCCCATTTTGAGGGCATCCAGGGTCGTCTCGCGGACTTGCAAGGGGCCCTTTGGACCTTTTCGGAAGCCTCTGGGCCACGTCTCAGAGCTGTCATGAACAAGAAAAAAGGCGAAAACAATCGTGAACGAACACCAAAACAATGTACACAAACATCGCATCTCGAAGAGTGTTCCGTGAAAAATCTGGGGGCCTCTGGGGGACAGTCTCGGGGCGAAAAGGGTTGCCGTCGAGGTCACTTAGGCATCTTCTTGAAGGCGTCTTGGGGGGGGAGACGGAGACGGAGGAGGCGACAGGGGGGATCACCGTCCCACTGGGGGAAAGGCAGACGTTCGCTTGCACGGTCGGCTGGTCGGAGTGAACGAGATCATACTGGTGACTAAACGGTGCGATTATAATGAACACGCCCCTGCACTCGCTAGCCCCATGTCCATTCGATCCCGCGCGCCTTGCGCTTGCTTTCCGCCAGCCGACAGAGCTCGGCGTCCACGTCGACCGCACCCTCCAGCGCATCCTGCCTTGTGGAAGGGGGAAGGCAACCACCACCAGCCGAACGAAAGGCCAATCGAGACATCGGCGGGCCCATTCCTCGTCCTCCTCCTCCTCCTCTTCTTCCTCCTCCTCCTCTTTTTCCTCCTATTCCTCCTCCTCTGCCTCAAGCACAAGCGGCGCGCGACCGGGCGGCTCCCCTTTTGGCTCCAACCGGTCATGCAGCCACTCTCGGCGTCTCATCGCGGCGTGCTTGTGGCAACCTGGAGATTTTGCAGCATTCACTGGTGTGGGTCTTGCTTTTATCGATGGGTTGGCTAAGACCGAGAGAAATTCATGCAGGTAATTTTTCCCCAGCAGCTTCCTCATCGGTGCTGGCCACGTGTGACTTTGTGGTTTACTTCGTCCACGTCGCTTTCGTGCTGCACGGGTGCATACTGGGCCCTTTTGTATCTCAATTTTCAAGCTTTCCTGTGCATCGACTTCGTGGTCCGTCCCAGGCTGCAGGGCAATGGGGGGAGCCGCTGGCATTGACCCACCCGCCTGCGGTCTGGGCGTATTTCAGGCGAGCGGGTGCTGCTGTCACGACCGTCGTGGAGGGCATCCGCCCCAGGTTGCAGGGTCGATGGGGGGAGCCGCTGGCATTGACCCACCCGCCTGCTACCTGGGCGTATTTCAAGCGTTGTGCTGGAGTGGTGGCTCTTGGTATGCATTGGGGGTTCGTGGGGCATTCCCCATCCCGCGGTGTCCACAGTCACTTTCTCTGGCCTTATAGGTGTATTGTCGACCCATTTGTTGGCACAGAGGCTTGGGCGAGATCAAGAGGTCAATTCATTTTCGTACGCGGGTACGGTCTTTTGTATTGATATTGTGGGGCTGTCTGTGGAGGACGCGATCCCCTTTGGGGGTTGCCCGATGACCAGTGGTGCTTGAACACATCATTGAATGAAGGGCCGCATCGAGCCGATTTCACCTCAGCTGAACTTGTGTCAATCTCTACGGTTTTGACCGTGTACGTCTTCTACCATTTCCTCATCTACCTGGAGGTGATCAGTGGGTGGCCTCATTTGTCAAGACTTCGGTCATGCTCACGTCGCCTGGTCTGGTTTGTGGGAGCGCAGGAGTGACAGTTCGGGTCGCAGTTCCTTGTCGTCTTCTACGTCGGCCTGATCAGGGGGTGGCAGGGCGGTATGTTTAGACTTCGTCTCATATCAGTCTCAGTCTCAGTTTCCTCCTCCTCTGCCTCCTCCTTATCTTCCTCATTGACATCCGAATCCTTCGTCGTTTGTTTCCCCGTTCTGATCATTATCCTCCCTCCTCTTCCTCCCCCATGTTCCACAGGCGTCGCTGTATCAAACGGCCCCTCTTCTACCTCCGAGCCCCCACCGACGATCTTAGATCTTGGCGCATGTCGGCGCCAAGCTGGGCCAAGGCGCCATTTAGACCGGGACTCAGAATGGTCCTGCACAAGCGGTGTGGTGGTGCATGCTTTGCATCTCGCGGTCGCCTCCGCTTCAGTTCGCCCGCTTTGGCGAAGTCCTCGCTCTCGACGGCCTGCGCGGAGCAGGTTCCCTCACTGCCCTGCGCTCTCTCCAGATCCTGCTGCTGTTCTTCATACCATCGTTTGTATCCAGCCCAAAATCGGCCTTGACTCGGCCAAACGTTGGCATTAACATCCGCTCCCACTTTCGCAGAAATAACGGGCACACAATAAATCAGCATTGGTTTTCGTTGGTATCTTCGCAAAGCCCTCATAACGGTGCGATAGCAGTAACCACGAGGTGAATGAGGTGACGGAGGCGTTCCTTTTATGGGCGGCGGTGCCGGAGAAGGTGTGCGCAGGGCGCCTGCCACTCCCGGGTAATTGATGCCTCAAGGTGTTTGTGGGCTTTGAACCGCCGAACGCCCGAACCCGCAAAAATCGGGCAAGGAAGAAAATGCACTCTCGCGTTTGCACACGGGGGCGCATCCTCGCAGAACCCTAGTAGCGGTGCGAAAGCGGTAGCAGGGGTAAATGAAGTGATGGTAGTGCTCCTTTTCATAGGTGGCGGTGCCAGGGGCCCTTTTACGATGGGCGCCTGCGACTCCCAGGAACTTGATGCCCCCCTCTGCGATGGGAGTGACTCACAAGTAAAAACGGGGGGGATAGGATACACCTGGAGGTGAGAGGGGGATGCCAGGGCCCCCTCCCTGGCCGCTGCGAGCGTCGAAGGCCCGACCGCCCTGGCACCTCGCCCCTTACACCGCCGCCGCCGCCAGCCGTTCGCGCGCGCGCGCGGGCCGAAAGGCGCGGTCTCGAGGCCCCGCCGAAACTACATAATTAGGTCCTTCCGCGGTTCAAGCCCCCCCCTCCGCCCGGACCCCCGCGCCCGCCCGCGGCTGAACGGCGGGGGCCCCGCAGAAAGGCGGGCCCCCTGGCAATGGAGGGCCCCGCCAGAGGGCGGGGTTCGAGGCAATCCCGCGCGGGCGCCACGCCCCCGCCCGGAGACCCCCCCAGCGCGGGGGCCGCCGCCGAGCCCTGCCCGGGGGGGGAGGCCGAGGACGACGACGGCCCCTGAGCGGGGACTGCGCCCGCGGTGCCGCGGCGGGCGCGGACAGCTCGCACGCCCGCGGGCTGCCGCCCCCCAGGGCGCCGCCGCGGCCGTCCCAGCTCCGCCCGCGCGACGTCGTCCGAGGTGCACTGCGCGGGGCTGTCGCGGCTCGAGCGCGCGCGCAATTTGCAATTCCCGCGGCCGCGCCCAGCTGCGGGCGCCCCCCCGAGGCGGCCGCTCTCCCCTCGACGATCGACTCGTAGAGCTCTCGGGCAGATCAGCATTGTCTCGACGAGCACATGCACCCCCAGGTCCGCGGCCGCCGCGTGGATTTCTAGGGGCTCGTCGAACTCCGTTGACTTCACGTTGCCAAAGTCGTCGGCGCCCTGGTTCCCCTCGCGCGGCGGCCAGTCCACTCTCAGAGCCATGTCGCGCGGCCTCCGGCCCGGTCAATGAGGAGGGCCGTCAACGGTCACTTTTTCGACCTGGCCCTGGACACTGCGCAGGAGATCACCATGTTGTCCATCGGCCCCGACGACGCCTCGAAATTCGCTCTCCGACGGAACCTCCGCGCCACGGGAACGGTTTCGCGCGGAGGGTCGCGCCGAGGAGCTCCAGCGCCGCAGTGGCCCTGTTCGGACAATCTGCGTCACCCGCGCCCGGAGGAGCCATTCCTCCTCTACTGCCAGCCGACGGGCACTTCGCGCGCCGCCGTCCAGCGGTGCTTCCCAGCTGGTCAGCGGCGCCCCCCTGTCCGCCTTCGCGCCGGAGCGGAAATGCCTGGCGCTCTCGGTTTTGAACTTGCCGGGCGTCTCCAATTTATGACCTCGTGTCAACGCTCGCTGAGTCGCGCCATCATGGGCAGGGCCGCCCGCGGCTAAGGGGGGGGCGTTATTCTCGCCTTCGCTCGAGGCGCGGGCGAGCCGGGCGCGCGCCGCCCCCGGGAGAAAGCCCTCCAAAACCGGAGCCACGAAGCGAGACTCAGGGGCCCCAAGCTTGCCGCCATCCGCCCGTCGCGAACGGCGCCGCGTTCGACCGCCCCCCGGCGCCGCGCCGCAATCCGGGGCCCCCTCGCCTCCGAGAAGCCCATGCGGCAAGTGGTACGATCGAAACAAGTGGCACGCGTGCCCTGGCTCTTGCACAAAGGAGCTGCGAAGGACAGGAGGCCCTCGCCTCCTTCCTCCAGGAGGGGTTTAGGAGGATCCAGGAAGAAAGCGGAGGAGGAGGACGACGACGACGACGATTTCTGGGGCGTGGCCTGGTTTTGTTTCTAGGCCTTGGCCAAGAGTGCCTCAGTGGTTCCCCAAGAGCCTCCAAGAGGTCAGGGGGGCTACCCTGGGAAGCGTGGACAGGGGGGGGGGAGGACGAACGACACGACGAACGAAAATAAAGTGTTCCGTGGCCCAGGGGGGCTACCCTGGGAAGCGTGGACAGGGGGGGGGGGCGAGGGGGGGGGACGGGGGGGAGGGGGACGAACGACACGACGAACGACGAAAGTAAAGGGTTCCGTGGCCCAGGGGGGCTACCCTGGGAAGCGTGGACGGGGGGGGGGGGGCGAGGGGTACCCTGGGAAGCGTGGACAGGGGGGGGGGGCGAGGGGGACGGGGGGGGGGAGGGGGACGAACGACACGACGAACGACGAAAATAAAGGGTTCCGTGGCCCAGGGGGGCTACCCTGGGAAGCGTGGACGGGGGGGGGGGCGAGGGGGACGAACGACACGACGAACGACGAAAATAAAAGGTTCCGTGGCCCAGGGGAGCTACCCTGGGAAGCGTGGACAGCGGGGACGGGCGAGGGGGACGGGGGGGGGGCGAGGGGGACGAACGACACGACGAACGACGAAATAAAAAAACCCACCCCCGTCCACTTTGAAGCGGCCCCGCGCGTTCCCCCCGCGCCCGGAAACCGAAAAGGGCGGAAAGGACGATCGTGAATCGAGAAGAGCGTCGCCACTCCGCCCCGCCGCCTCGCCCCGCCCGGTAATTTCGTTTGAATCCCACCAGCCCTTTGGGCGTAGGTGGTCTAACGATATTATTTCTTTCCTCTTCCACAATCCCCTCTTCCTCTTCGGGGAGGGGTTTATCACTGTTCCCTATTAATAAACACCCCCTTCCCGCAGGCGACTCTGCCTCCAAATTCGGAGCATGCGCCGCCAACCCGATGCGGCATCCCCCCAACATCCCTGTCAACAAACAATACAGAGTACACTTGGCGGCGGCGGCGGCGGCTGCGGCGGCTGAGGCGGCGGCGGCGGCGGCGGCGGCGGCTACGGCGGCTGCGGCCGCGGCGGCGGTGGCGGCGGCGGCAGCGGGGGCGGCGGCGGCGACTGCGGCGGCTGCGGCGGCGGCGGCGGCGGTGGCGGGCGGCGGTGGCGTGGCGGCAGCGACTGCGGCGGCAGCGGCTGCGGCGGCGGCGATTTGGCGAGGCGGCGGCGGCGGGCGGCGGCGACGACGGCACCGGCGGGGGCGGCGCGGCGGCGGCGGCGACGGCGGCGGCGTTGGCGGCGGCGGCGTTGGCGGCGGCGGCGGGCAGCGGCGGCGTCGTGCGGCGGCGGCGGCTGCGGCGACGGCGGCGGCGCGGGAGGAGGCGGCTGCGGCGGCGGCGGATTGGCCCTCAGTATCTGCCCATCCAAAAACGACTGCTGAATATGCTGAGGCTCGGGCCAGACTCGGGTGCTACGTCTGTGTTGGGAGGGCGGGTGGGAGTGAGCGAGACGGCTTGCGGGGGGTGAGGGGGTCTTGACCTTTCCCCCTACCCCCTCCCCTGGCCTTTTTCGGCGGCGGTCGCGGGTGGCCGGAGGGCCCTTTTTTCAGCACGTGGGATGGCCAATGTTTGACACCCCTCCCGAGGATCGTGGCCCCCGAGGGGGGACGTCGATCGGGGGATCTTTGCCTTCTCGCCGTTTCTCTTCCGATGCGCTTTGGGGGCCTCAAGATGGTCCCAAGAGGGCCCAAGAAGGCCAAAAGAGAAGCCCAATATGCCCCTAAGATGGCCCCCAAAACGCCCAAGAGCGCCCCAAGAGGGCTCCCAAACCGCTTCCAAAGGTGGCTTTCAGTGCCCCAGGGGGGGGGACCTAGATCGGGACCCCCCTCTTCTTTGACCGATAGCCTCAAAGATGGCCCCAAGAGGCATTCCAGGGCTCCCAAGAGAGCCCCTAAGACAGCCCTTCAGGGCCCCAAAAGGGTCCCAAGAGGGCCCCAAAAGGCACCCGAGAGGCCACCTACGAGGCCTCAGAGAGCCCATGACATCCAACATGGTTCAGATAGCCCAAACTGGCTCAAGATGGCTCCTAATCTGTTCCAAACAGCCCCAAGACAGCTCCAAAAGCGCCCAAGAGCGCTCCAAGAGAGCCCCAAGAAGCGGTTTGCGGGCTCCTGAAGGGGGGAGCTGAGTTGGGGACCCCCCCCATCCTGTAATCGATGGCCTCCAAAATGATCCTAAGAAGACTTCCAGTGTTACCAAGAGGGTTCCAAGAGGGCCCCCCAAACTCCCAAAGAGCACCAGCAGCAGCAGCAGCAGCAGCAGCAGCAGCAGCCGCAATAATACCCCTAGATGGTTCCATGAGTCCTCGTCCGCGCCGTCCTCATCCTAGTCCTCGTCCTCCACGTCCTCGTCCTCATCCGCGCCCTCGTCCTCCTCGTCCTCCTCGTCCTCCTCGTCCTCCTCCTCCCCCTCCTCCGCTTCCTCCTCCTCCTCCTCCTCCTCATCATCATCATCATCCTCCTTCTCCTCCTCCTCCTCTTCTCCTCGCCCCCACGCGGCCCCCAGGGATGGCCCGAAGCCCGAAGAGGCCTTCCAAGGCCACCCCCTTGCTTCCAGAGATCTCTCGGTTCACCCTGGTTGCTCGTTTTGTTTCCCTAGATGTGTCTCTTCGTCCCTTTTCTCGTCAGCTCTTATGGGCAAATCTTCTGACTGGGCTGGTGGGGATACTTTTGGTCGCAGCCTCTGGCGAGAGCGCAAGCGGCGAATGGCAAGTCCGGGGCGCGGTCCTGCTAATTAAAACAAGAGCAACCTAAGGGATA